GCTATTTAAGGTTATTAAGGTCTGTTCTTTTCCGTTTCGTGTTCGATCTTCCGTGCTGATCAGTTATGTATATTTTTGATAGATGATATATAAAGTAATTCCCTTTCCCGAATCAGGGGTGATTGTTTGTTCATTGTATTTGGCATGAGTTGTTCTCCCTCTCTGCTCCCGACTACCATTTTCCATCTACCTCTTTGCTCCCAAATACCATTAATTATATCATTATGAGTACTCATTCTCAATCCCCTGAACCATCTGCCCCACTTTCCAGTCAAACCAAGCACCATGGGTCCGGGAGGCATTGGACCGATGAAGAAAGTGCTCTGTTGGAAAAACATCGGGAGGAGTACAGAGACGCCAACGACGCTGCTCGTGCTGAGATATTTTCTCGAGTTTTGCAAGACATGCTCGACATACTCCCCAATGGAAAATCGTTCAAGAAGGAAGAAAGATCAGCTGTTAAAAAAGTAAGTACTTTTTCCAGAGGCCCTCTAATTGATTCCTGACGGACTTGTAGGATATTAAAGAGTGGTTTGCCCGGTACAGTCGTAAGAGAAGTCAGAAAATGCCGAGGATGGGAAAGTCGTGGCACGCCCGGTGTGTGTTCCAGCATGAGAACAAGGACGCCATCGATACTGAAGCGAAAAGGCTTTGTGCCGAAGCCATTGAAGAGGGACAAAAGAGGCCTAAAGGGGGAGATCCCACTCATTTTTATTTTCGGGAGCGGGTCGTGACTCAAATGATGGGAAAACTGAAGAAAAGGGAGAAAGACGTACTGCAGAGGACGGCCGAGGAGTACAACAAGAAGGGAGTTGACCCAGAACTCAAGTCCAAGTAAGTTAATTTTCATTATTCTAACGTTGGCTTATCTGGACCTTTGGTAGACTGGCTGTAAAGAACTGCACGGCTCGGATGCATGCATTTTCCAAGGAACTTTATGACACAATGGGTGTCTGGGTCTTTATCTTAGGATGTTATCTGAAGCCCAATGGTAATTTGGACGTCTCGACGTACGACTTCAATCAAGAACTCGGCAATGGGAAAGACTTTATTGATAACCATAGCTGGACTTTCCATGAGGAAGGAATATCGGTATCTTCTTGGAGAGCACACAATGAAGAATACTATGGGTTGGAGGATCTTGCTTTGGCCGAAGGAGGACACCGATCCCGGGGTGCTATGACTTTGGAGAAGAACCTATACCTGGAACCTATTCTACCCAATCCATCGAAACCACCACTTAAAACTTCCTGCCCTGTATCACTAAACATTTGTCTACTTAGATCTTGCAGCTGGGCAGAGTAAGGGATCAGCTCCTTGGACGGCTATTGGATCAAAGTTACTTGACTTCATTGATCTAGAATATATACCCCCGGCTTGGAGATCAGTAAATGGAGAAGGTAACAACTTTTACAAGTTTCTTGATCCCTCCAAATTCCCGATGGAGATGGTCACTGAAGCTCTCAAGTTTTGGTATGAACATCAAGAACAACACAAAGTCGCCTTTCGATTTAAATCCTTTCTTGAGGGGAAAATGCTGCTGGAAGCACCTCCATGAAGGAAAATCAAAGTTCACGTTCCTAAACCTCATGTTCATAGTGTTGGGAAGGGCAAGAAGCCCGGCAGAAGCAAGGGTCAAAGGAGAGGCTGGGCAGCAACCAAGTCACCATCAGATGAGGAAGCCATGCCAAAGAGAAAGGAAGGGGTGGAAGATCAGCAGTTCGATGACAAAAGTTGGAAGGATTTGGATGTGGACAAGCCGGTCAAGAAACGAACCGAACAGTTTTCTAAGGATGACTGGACTCCTGATTGGGATGGCTCCGATGACGATGGAGAAGACTTGGATGTGGAGAAACCAACCAAGAAACCAACCAAACAGCATGATGAACATCGTGAGGATGGCTCTGATGATAGTGACTCAGACTCCGATAATGGTCAAGAGAGGCCAAAGCAGGATACTCTGACCGAGCCCACAGTGAAACCTAGCAGGGTCAACCCGACCTTGGAAGAGGATAGAGACTCGGGATCAGATTTGGGCTCAGACAATGCTACGATCACTGTAGATACCAGCCCCGAGCTTCAGCCTCGGTACAACGACACCCGGGCTCTCTCCCATGAAGTACCATCGGACACTGAGGTCTTGGCTGATGATACATTTTGGGAAGCCGACCTGGGCTGTGGGGTGGAGTCGGCCGATCGAGCGAAGAAGAGAAAATTCACTGATGAGGAGGATACACCCTGCAAGTTTCCTCGGTTAGAGAAGGGTTACAAACTTGGCCCGAGGAGTGCCCAACCAGGCAAAGTCAAATGCCGAGCTGCCTCGGCTGTTATCCAAGCCACTGTCAAACCAGCTCAAGCAACCAATCCGAGGTCGGACACAACCAAAGCTTCGAATAGCTTTGATTTCACCAAGTCAAGTGGTGTCAATGCAAAACGACCAGTCCCTTCAAAACAAAAGAAGTCAGAGGCCAGTCCCAGTCAGCAACCATCTATTGATGTCCCCACCAAGCCAAAACCAAAGCCTCGTCCTATCATGAAAGGCAAGGTTTCTACAGGGGAACTTGGTATAGTAACCTGAGAATGGTCGAAAAAGATTGCTGAAGAAAGTGTTCGTTCCACCCGGTCCAAGAAAGTTTCATTCGTCAGTTAAACCTATCATGTTTAATGATGTTAGTCATTCATGCCCGGGTGCGAAATACATAGCATGTTCAATGATGTTAGTCTGTGTCTGGTTTCAGCAGTGTCACTTTTCGTAGTTGATCATGTTTTTCTATCATGAAAGGCAAGGGTTGAAAAGGTGTTCGTTTGACTAATTGAGCCGGGAGGCTTGTCTTACGACCAATTAAATGTGAGCACTATCCAGCAGCGGGTATCTTCAACCATGCCCAGGTGCAAACTACATAGCGAACCAACCTCGGTCTTGTGATCTAATCTTCTACTTAAACCCTGGTCCATCCCTTTTGTCCCTCCCCTTCCCCTTGTCTGGGATCTCGTCTGGGATGAATGGCCGTAGTCCTTCTAAAGTAGCGTCCATTGCTGCAACCAGATCACGGTCTGAATCGATTTGTTCACGCAACCGGTCTTTCTCCCTCCTCAAGGTGGCCAAAACCTACCAATAATGGCTCGTTGTCGCTATGCTGTCAGGCAGGGATCTGAGCGCCTCCTGGTGAATTTCGCTATGACGAACCAGGTCCATACGATCCATCTCGGTAAACTCATCTCCCCTCATCAACAATTTATCAAAGGCGGCCTGCAAATTCCTAATCAAAGGGTCGGATGAAGCCTCGGGGTCCATAGCTCTTTCCCACACTTTGCCAATTGCCTGAACGACCTCAGCTACCACGCCCGTGCGATCACCAATGCTGTCATCAGACACAACCTTGATATTGTACTTGCGACATAAACCCCTTGCATGTGGGGAGTTTGGATCCAAGTCACCCCTGGCTGTAGCCCTATGCCTTATAAACTGGAATAATGCACTTTATTCATTTCCATAGGGAGTGCATTTGACCACTTGGTATGGATGTGGGTTAATGCACGGCTTGCTGTAGGGTGGGTGGGAAGAGGTATTGTTGATATTATATGGGTACATATTTGTTATTTAATTCTGAGGAGACATTTACATTCCCACAGCTTTGTTTCTCCTAGAAAGAACACCTGAGACTTTACCATATATATAGTTGATGATGTTCTGACACTCCTAAATAGTTTCCCTCTGTCAAATCTGACCGAAATAGGCTGGATGCAACAAATCCATTTCGGATGACCTTGGGACTTTTGATGCCTTTGGTACACAATTGTCAACAATGCATAGTTTTAGTTCTGAGGAGATATAGATGTCCTACAGCTTTGTTCCTCCTAAAAACCACCTCTGAAACTTCACCAATTATATGCACGATATTGTTCAGACCACTCCAGATACTTTCCCTCTGTCAAATCAGACCAAAATAGCTGGATGCGGCAAACCCTTTTCGGATGACTTTGGGCCTTAGATGGCATTGGTACACAGATGCAAACAGAGTGAATTAAATAGTGTAGCTACTCTACCACACAATGGACAGGCAAAAAGATGGTAGTAAGAGCGTAATAAAGTATCTACCAATGTATAATGAGCAGAAAGGGGTACATTTTATGTCGTGGTCATTGTCATGGTGGTCCCCGTCGCGTTCATCGGGCTGGTCCTCTGTGGCGTCATTTCACATTGTGGTGGTCCGCCATTGTCGTGGTCCATTGTGGTAGGTGCTGTGTGGTCGTGGAGGCGTGGTCGTGTCACATTGGTTCATCTAGTCATGGTCACCATTGTCCATTGTGTGTGGTCGTTGGTGGTGCATTGTCGTCCGTGGCAGTGGCCCTCGCATTGTCGTGGTACATCGTGGTCTGTGGTCGTCGTCCATGGTCGTCTGTTTGCTTTGTGCTCATCCTTCGTGGTCATTGATGGTGCATTGTTGTCCGTGGCGGTGGCCCTCGCATCGTCGTAGTACATCGTGGTCTGTGGTCGTCCGTTTGCTTTGTGCTCGTCTGTCGTGGTCACATGGTCCCTCATCCCTTGTGGTCCGTTGTCGTCAATTGGGGGAAATAACATCTGACATCGTCATTTGTCAGAGCAAGGAGTGAGGAGGAGAGGGCTGTATACTCACCTGAAGATCAGCTACTGCAACGCAACCCTCGCATTCATCAACCCGCTTGCTGCCATGTGCTTCCACCTCGCTCTTGACACAGTCAAGTCCGATGGTCCTCGACCCGGTGACGACAAACAACGAATGGGTCATTGTTCGTCATTT